ACGCCCCACCTGCTCTGGAGGTTCGTAATACCTCTCCAAACAGGTTGATTAGGAAATTCTACATGGGTAGTCTGTGGAACTTAGAGGCTGCTGTGAAGTAGTAGTAGTGTCAGTAAATCTCAGTCAGGAGGCCTGGGTTGAAATCTCACTTGCACCAGAGGTGTGAAATAATGTATCTGAATAGGTTGACTAGAAAATATCTACGCTGTGGAACTCCTGCAGTGATGTACAATGGTTGAGATCATTGAACTCCAAAAACCACAAACCATCTACCTTGTGCTAGGAATGACTTCAATCAACAGGGAGAGTTTTGTCCCCCGATTCCCACTGTCTCCATTTTTGTTAGGGCTGCTTAATACGATGCTCGGTTAAATGCTGCCTTGGGGTCACCTCTAAATGCAAATGCAGGAATAAGACCATAAAAATGGCCAGTATTGTCTACCTTTGCGAGTCCTAAAAATCCTTCAGAATATTCAGGAACATGGTAGCCAGACAACAGTCACCATCTTTTAGATATAAAATAGAAATAAATGGCAGTCAGTCACTCTCCTCACCTGTGGAGTTCAACTCTTTTGTCCATGTTTGGACAAAAGCTGCAATGAGTTCAGGAGGTGAGTGGCCCTGGTAGAAGCTGAACTGACCATCAGTGTTCAGTGCTTGACAGCATTGTTGATGACTCTTTCCATCACTCTGAAGATCAGATCAGTAATTGGTTGGGTTGGATATGTCCTGCTTTTTGTGGACAACTCTTCACATTATCATGGAGGTGCTAGTGATGTTCCTGCACTGGAAAATTGGCCAGGGTCACAGCAACATCTCATGCACAAGTCTTCAGTGCTGCTGCTAAAAAGAGATCACCAGAAATTTGGGAGAGAAAGGGTACTGTGAATACACAATAGAAACTTATTAACTGTGTCTTTATCAACATAAAAGATGTGCTTCAGGTGATAGCTTTTAGTTGTGTAGGAATATGTCAGTTATTTTAACATGTAGATGATGGTGTAGTGGTAATGTCATAGACCACCAATCCAGATCCCTAGGCCAATGATCTAGGCACATGTTCAAATCAGACTATAGCAGATAGTGACATTTTAATTCAACAAAAAAAAGAAAGAGCAGGTCTAATAGGACCATGTGACCACTGCCAATTGTCATAAACCCATCTGGTTCATTAATATCCTTTATGGAAGTAAACCTGCCATCCTAAATGTGACTCCAGACCCACAGCAATGTGGTTGACTCTTAGCTGTCTTCTGGAATATTAGGGATGGGACATAAAAGCTACCTTAGCCAATGACATTCATATCCCCATGAACAAAAATGAAAAAAGAAAATGTTTGTTGCTAAATTATGCCTGTGGTTATCTGACAATATATAATGTCATGTCTAAGAAATCAATACTGTCATGGTATTATGGCTTTAAATTTAACGGAGAATTGATAAGTAAGCATATTGATGAATTCTTCTAATTCTGCTTCTGTACAAGATCAAATACCCCAATCATCAACACAAATACAAACAGCTAATGCCACTACATGCCTGCATCATCTAATAAGGGAGAGTTAGTGTGAATGAAAAAGGAGCCCTGAAAACCAAAAAGTAGACCCTGAAAGGAAATAAAATAACTCAAGAATTTTTTTAAAAATTGTGCCCGACAAGTTAGATAAGGATGTAGAAATAATTGTAAATTTGAAGAAAGCTCTAGTTAGAATAAAACATGTCCACGTAAGGAAACCAATTATAGTGATGATATTAAAGGCACATAGTCCAGTCAACACAGATTTACCAGAACAACGCCAAAAATGGAAGTCTATAGTTATGAGGATAGACATGAAATACTTGGAGCATTTCCATGGAAGTAGAAGAATAGGCCAAGAGGAAATTGAATAGAAGCTTCCAAAATTATGGCAGGTTCCAATAATGTGAACTAAATAAAAAGGCTACTTCCAGTTGTTGGCAAATCAATGACCAAGGACTACCAATGTAAAATCATCTCTAACTGAATCATAAAGGGATTAACAGAAATTTCTTAACAGTGGATTACTGCAACACGGAATGTTGTTTTGATACTGCAGAAGTTAAAGGCATTGACTATTAATGTTTAAGGAAAAATTGGATAAATATAGTGTTTGAATCAAACAAAGATACATGGTCATGCAAAGGGTACTAGTCAGTGAGATTAGTTTTGGAAAGCACAATTACAAACATAATGCACCAAACTACTGTCAAGATTACACTTCCACAGTTCATTCTCAGTGGGTTGATATGGCAGCTGCTAATATTAGTGCACAAATGCTTTCCTCTCTCTTCTATTATAATGAGAACAGTTAACTTGCATTTTAGCCTAATAATCATAAACGGATGTATACAACTAATCTGGGAAGGAAAGTCAAATCATAAGAGATTATGGATACCTTAATTAATTACTTTTTAGGTAAAAGTAATAAGATTCCAATAAAAGAAAGAGATGAAAGAGTATGTAAGGAAGAATGACTCGAATCCAGAATGACAATATAGATAAAGTGGATTAAATCATCACTGAAGAGAAGAGCGCTTCTATTATTTATATTAATGTACTCAATTTTGCTACTGTAATCTGAATTTGCAAACTGTACTTTGTAAACCTCATACTGGCATTCATTAATAATAAACATCATACACTCTTCTTGCATGTCAAGCACAACACTTTGAACAGTTAACCTTTCCAGTATTGTCAGTGACAAGGGGTGCCAATGAGTATGCTCATCAGTAGTAGCTCATGGGCTTTGACACACAAAATCTCATAGGTCTTCAAAAGTGTCCATATTACAGAACAGGAGGTCTTAAAATGCATAAAAGGTACATAAATCCCTGGGACCTGATCCAGCATATCCCAGAACTTTGTGGGAAGCTAGGGAAGAGATTACTGGGCCCCTTGCTGAGATATTTGTTTTATCAACAGACCAGGATGCCTGATGTCAATGGTGGGTAAGTTGTTAGAGGGGATTCTGAGGGACAGGATTTACATGCATTTGGAGAGGCAATGCCTGATTAGGGATAGTCAATACGGCTTTGTGTATGGGGAATAGTATCTCACTAACTTGGGTTTTTCAAAGAGGTGACAAAGAAGATTGTCTACTGATCTGCCTTCCTCATTGTCTGTATGGGCTTCAGCAAGGTGTTCAACAAAGTTCTGCATGGTAGGTGAGTTAGCAAAGTTAGATCACATGGAATCTAGGGGGAGCTAGCCATTTAGGTACAAAATTAGCTTGAAAATAGGAAAGAGAGGGTTATTGTATAGTGTTGTTTTTCAGACTAGAGGCCTGTGACCAACGGTGTACCAAAAGGATCAGAGCTGGGTCCACTGCTTTTGATCATTTATTTGGATGTGAATATAGGAGGTATGGTTCGTAAGTTTGCAGATGATATCAAAACAGATGACAGTGAAGAAGGTTATCTCAGAGTATAACTGGACCTTCATCAGATGGGCTGATTGACCAAAGAATGGCAGATGGAAGTTATTTTAGATAAATGTGATGTGTTGCATTTTGGCAAGGCAAACCAGGGCAGAACTTGTACAGTTAATGGTAAGGCCCTGGGGAGGGTTGCCAAACAAGCAGACCTTGGAATGCAGGTGCACAATTCCTTGAAAGTGGATTTGCAGGTAGACAGAGTGGTGAAGGCAGCATTTGGCATGCTTGCCTTCATTGCTCAGACAACTGATTTTAGGAGTTGAGATGTCATGTTGCAGCTGAGCAGGACAATGGTGAGGTCACTTTTAGAATACTGCGTTCAATTCTGATCTCCCTGCAGTAGGGAAGATGTTGTTAAACTTGAAAGGGTTCAGAAAAGATTGACAAGGATGTTGCTGGATTTGAGATACAGGGAGAAGCTAAATAAGCTGGGCATTTCTTCCGGGAGCATCAGAAGTAGAGGGGTGAACTTATAGAGGTTTATTAAATCAAGGAGAGCATCGATAAAGTGAATAGCCAAGATCTTTTTCCCAATGTAGGACAGTCCAAAACGAAGGGCATAGGTTAAACATGACAGGGAAAAGACTTAAAAGGGACTGAAGGGGCAATTTTCACGCAGAAAGTGGTGAGTGTATGGAATGAGCTGCCAGAGGAGGTGATGGAAGCATGTACAATTATAACATTTTAAAAAGGCATCTGGATGGATACATGAACAGGAAGGGTTTAGAGGAATATAGGCCAAACGCTGGCAAATGGGGCTAGATCAGTTTAGGATATTTGGTCGGCGCAGACAAGTTAGACCAAAGGATCTGTTTCCGTGCTCCATCACCTCCTCTGGCAGCTCGTTCCATACACGCACCACTTTCTGTGTGAAAACATTGCCCCCTCGGTCCCTTTTAAATCTTTCCCCTCTCATGTTTAACTTTTGTGACTCTGTGTCTCCAAGATTTGAGACTGCATCAGTAGGCATTAAAATTATTCCTAATTTCAATACAACTGTGCAGGAACTGAAAAATTGCAAAACCTTTCAGACCAGGCAGATGGTAATTTTCCTAAATCGGCCTGACTTCAAAAGGCTTTTGAACAGCTATCACAAGATCAACTTGCTTTGATAAATTCAATTGATTGTATTATTCAGCAAATACAATTGTTATCTGTAAATCCATTATTTTGAACATAGTTAATCTGGTTTAACTAGTTTTAAAATACATTTACAGAACCATAATATTACTTTCACAATGGCTCCCCTACACAGAGATAACAAAAAGTCTTCCTCGTATCTCCAATCAACAATGGCAATGTTGTTTCTGATCACAGAAATTATATTACTGCCTTTGACAAAGCAGAGGAGGTAGACTTTGGACTTCAACAAGAAAAAGTGCTCCCTTGGCCTCTCAGGTAGGATAAGCACCTGTGACAAAACTGATTGTCTCTTGTATTCGCATTACAGGTGTACAGTTTACATGGTAATGGTCATTGGTATTCATACCTCAATGGCATGCTTAAAAGGGATCAAGTGATTATTCCATTTTTATATTTCAAACTTACAACATGAAATCCTGCTCCCAGCATGGTTGGCTTCCCCGTACTGCAATAGTTGTACTCTTCACATTCTGAACCTTCAGGGTCACATATGTATTGTATTTTTCTGTAAAAAGAGAAATGAACACCTTAAGACAAATGTGACTAATACTGGAACTGTCTTCCTAAATGGCATTGTGTATCTATCTACAGTACATGGACTGCTGCAGTTCAAGAAGGCAGCTTACCACCACCTTATGGGCAACCAGGGATGGACAATGAATGCTTGCCCAGCCAGGGAGCCCTAATTTCCACGAATACATTGCTTCAAAAATTAACACTGACAGAGATTTGTCACGATAGTAATAAAATACAGGTTATTAATTTTCAAATGCCATCATCTAATTTTAATAACTGATAATTTTGTGGATTGAAATCGTTTTATAAAGGAAAATCATAAACTGAAAATTGTCACAGTAATCACCTGATCACACACACAGGCTAGCCAAGCTTCAATGAAACCAATGTGGAATAATGAATATCATCTGAACTGAAAGTTCAGTTCCAAATATTGGAGATTACATAATTATTTCCAATTTTGACAGTTACTAGATTAACTCAAAAACTGTAGTACTGATCAGTTTCTATCTCAGGGGACTGCCTTTAGCAAGGCAGGGCAAGTGGATATTTGACTGCTACTCAAACTAGCTGGAAAAAGCGTTGTCTTGACCTCATGAGAAGAAAGTGTCCAGTGATAGAACTGATTTTAAAAAAACAAGAAGTGAACCAACAACTGAAATATTCACCACTGAATACTCAAGACACCATGGTCTCTATTATTCCTCAAAGGCATCCTAAGGACTTAAATGGTATATTCCCTTCTTCATTCTTTTGAACGGGACATTGCGCCTTTTTTAAAAATTTTATACTTGTTTGACCTCATGCCTTTAGATTTTCCTCAGGGTTAGCAAATAAACAAAATTACTCTTTCACTTAAGAAAGCTATGTAATTGGCTCCCTACTGATACAACAGATATTGGATAACTACAGTTTTATAAGAGAGATGTATAGCCTCACACGGAAAAAGGATTTTAAACAATTTTTGCAACCAAGGAGGTTGGCAAGAAGGGAATCAAATCACTCCTCCTCACTTGGGTATAACAGATTACAGGGGGTTCATTATTTTCTCAGCAGAAGTGACATGTTATGCAAGGAAACAGTAGTATTCCAAAAATCTGAAAATGTCAAGAAATGTAGGGAAATGAAATAACAAAAAAAAAATTGTATCAAATTTCAATAGCATTAAGAGAAAAAAAAAATGTTTAAAAAATCTTGATATACTTTGGTACTAATTATCAGAGTCTGCAATCAATACACAATCTGCAATTATTTCCAGTTTACGTAATGTTATTTTATTTTCAAATACACTGATCATCTTGTGGTCCATAATCTAGGTTAACAGCTTTTTAAAAACTAGCACAATTTTTTCACTGCATGGTCACCATTAAGATACTTTCGTTGCTTAATTACCTGAAATAGAATAGGAATTACTCACATAATATGGCACAAGGAGAGAGCCCTCCGAGTCAATGAGTATCTTTATTACATGCTTGTCCTCAGGACTTCATCCTTAATAAAATGGGCAACTCAACTCCACATTTGAAATTATAGCTAGAAATTGAATCTGAATTATTTTAGGTTTCACCGTAGAGCAAATGGATATACTTCAACAAGCTAAAGGAGAAATACCATAGCCCAAGATGTCAGATTTTTCTATTTTTCAAGTATTCAGTCACATGCCTGATGTGCTTTATTTAATCTGCAAAAAGGCAATTTCTATGAATGTCAGACTACTCTACAAAGCTGTAACTTGATTTGTGAGGAGACATTTTTACTTTTTTTATGATCAGAAAATGCTTTATTGGTAGGAGCCAAATAAACTATCCAAAAATGAATTTTTTAAATGTATATAAATCCTTTACAAATTCCTAAACCATACCTCCAACAGCTAAAATTGTATTTGGTTTAACCAAAACTTACCAAATTCGCTAGTAACAGAAATATAATATCAAGGAAATAATCAGTAACAAAATTTGGGAATCGCTGGGAAAACTCAGCGGGTCTGGCAGCATCTGTGGAGAAAAAGCAAAGTTAATTTTTCAGTTCCCGTGACTCTTCTTCAGAACTGATTGCAAGTCAGAAAAGGTTGATATTTATGCTAAAGGTGGGGTGGAAGGAGGGCTAAGCAATAGGTGGAGATGGAGCACAGAGATAGAGAGTGAACAACAGTTGGACAGACAAAGGAAGGAGTAAAGATCAGCCTGGGAGAAATCAAGCTGATAACGGGGATCTTTAGTCTGTTATAGAAAATCCAGTTGTGTCTCATTCAACAATGTGTACCTTCTATCGAAGCTTTGTACAGCAAAAATAGCAGAAATTAAATTAAAATTTTTATGAATTCACTGATTGCTTTATGATTGCACACTGGGAGCCTTAATGCATGTAACCTCCAGAGTAGTATAGAGTCATCAACAGCAATATTTAGATTTCTGTTTTATTCAATAGAAGTGCAGACTCTCAGAGTTGGTGTCCATTTAGTAGCATAATGGTGGAGAGCATAATTTCTACTCATACCAACACTTCTCAGTCACCTGTTCAAAAGTGGCTCTGGTGTAGAACCAATTTGTTTACCTGTGTAACATAATTGAACTGACAACATCTATTTGCATTATATTTATCTCAAATCAAAATGTGGACCACTGCTGCTGAATTGTCTTGTTTGCACTATTTTTCCCTTTAACTTGGGCTGCATCTCCTAATTTCACAGGCATTGCTCATCCACCCCCGTCCAAAAAATGTTTATTTTATACTCTTCATCCATTTCCGGTATCCAGCTCTGTTGGGTCTTGCTAATTTCCAACTATGGCCCCCACCTGGTTCTGCATCAGTTATTTGCCCAGTTTCAATTAGCAGAAGTAAGCCAGACAATGCTTGTTTAATTTAATGGAAACAGAAATATATCAAACAATCAGCATGTCAGGCAGCATTTGTGGAGGTAGACAAACATGACAGGAGCAGTCAACATTTCGGGTATTACCCTTCTTCAGGACTGGATGTGGGGGTAGGGGGAGCTGCAGATAAGTTGGGGGGGGTCAGTGCTGGAGGCAGAATGGTGGTGATAGGTGGGCACTGATAGTAGGTACGACCTGGTTGGTCGATGAGAGGGATGAATCCGGTTGGTGGCTGGAAGGGAGGGTCAGAAGGTGGAATGGAAGAGAGGAAGTGGGGCTGGAAGGGGAGCCAGGGGATGGGTGGGAAGATTATGTGAAATTGGAGAACTCAATATTGAGTCCTCCTGGCTGTAGGGTGTCCAGGCGGTAGATAAGGTGCTGTTCTTCAAATTTGCGTTCTGAATCGCTGTAACACTGGAGGAGGCCGAGGACATACAAGTCAGAGGGGGAGCATTTGTGGAGAACAAAACGATGAAGATCACATGTTGATTACATTTTATCACCGCTTCATTGCTTTTTATACTGGTATAGTTTGACAAGTAGTCTTAAATGTATATTCAACATTATGCCCAAAAGCTTTTCATCTCAATTTACACAAATTTTGAGCTTTAAATGTTATACAAGAATGCATTTCTTGGGTCTGATTTTAATTTGCTCAAAACCCATTCACATGCAGATAAATTCAGACCGATAATGGCTGCTTTTAAAATGCTACTAATCAGAAGCTTTCTTTTTAAAAAAAGCACCAGTAACTGAATAACATGGAGTTGATGTAAGTCAGAACACGTGCATATGCTGTTCTGGCCTTTACCTCAATGGGTATTTTATAATACAGCTTCATGTTGTTATGGAATATTTTATGGCCCACTCTCACTGCTGACTATCTCTCACTTCCATTTCAGAATACTGCTGGGTGGAGTTTGCACATTCTCCCCCTCTCACAATCCAAAGATGTGCAGGTTAGGAGGATTGGCAATACTTAATTTCCATTATGTCCAGGGCTGTGCAGTCTAGGTGGATTAGTTGTGGGAAATGCAGGGTTACAGGGATAGGGTAGGGGTGTGGATCTGGGAGGGATGCTCTTCTGAGGCTTAGGTACGGACACAATGGGCTAAATGGCCTACTTCCAAACTGTAGGAATCCTATAATTCTATGATCCTGTTGATGCTGTCAACAGTCTTTTCCTCCCACTTGCGTAGCCAACTGCCTCCTGTTGCCATATGTCTCCTCGGCTGAAGTTACATGATGTATGGTTATGCATTCTATTACAACAGTTTCTGATAGTCTTGTTTATTTTATGCTAGCAATTTCGATCTGACAATTTTTCATCTGTTCTATTTTGCATTGTACAAGGCAAGTGCATTTTTGTTAGGTAAGGTTACCAAAGAATATCAAGTGAAGGCAGGAAAATGAAGTTGAACTACCAGGATTTAAATGTGTTGTGCAGCAAGTCCAAACAACTGAATGATCATTGACAAAACAATGTTGCTTACCAACTATCTTGAAGAATGCAAAATAAAGGTTGGACTAAAATATAAAATTAGATTTACATGGCCAGCAAGAATATTCAAATCATTATATCTTAGTTTTTACCTACATCAACAAGACATAATATTTTTGTGAGATTTTAAGCAGTGATATTGCAGCATAAAAGGGCAAGATAATGTCATTTCTAAAGATTGCTGTCTGCAGAAATTTCAACAGCACAGGCCGTGGAGCAGCAGGGAACCACTTACAGTAATTTCAGGACTTCCTTGCTTAACTGCGCATGTGTACATGTTCTTGTTATTTTCACAAGGTAATGACAGTTTGGCTGTCATTACAATCACAAAATCTGAACCATTAGCTTTAAACTAGTGTAGCTTTAGACAGAGCCCAGGTTTGATGAGTTGGCAGTTTATCTTTGCAAATGGATGAGTTGAATAACGTGTTAATCTGTTAACAGTAATTCACACATCATTGTAATGTGCTAAGCATTCTGCAGAATGCAGAAAGCTGAGTTAGATACATGCTCTGCTGCCTCTGCACAATAAAACTGCACATATACTTGTGCCTATATCATAAGTGCTAATACCATTACAGTCCGTCATTACAATGAGAAGCGATCTCAGTGAAC